TTTTGCAGCCCCCCCCCCCCCCCCCCGAAGGAAAGGTCACAAAGCAGCAAGTGAGCGGAGCACGTGTGGGAGCCTCTGCAGCCCTCCCTGGCACTGTAAGAGCTGTCCTCTCATATCGCCATTAATGAGAGCAAGAATTAAGCTGAACAGGAAGTACTTTGGGATATTTGGTTTCTCTTTCTCCGTTAAATCTATAGATGTACTAAGCAAGTGATTGTGCTGCTGAATCCAGACTAGAAAGAAATAAGAGTTCCCCTCAGTTAGCCATCTGTGTCCAACCTCCCACAGCCTCCTGTCGTAGGAAGGTTATCACCTACCCCCAGCTACATGCCATTGCCTCAGGGCCTCTTGAGGGAATGCCTGGGACTGCATACCTTCCTAGTCGGCATCTTTTTGGCATCTTCGCAAGAAGAGGCTGAGGCTAGTGTAGCTAGAAGGTTTCTGTGAGCAGCTCGTGCTTCTCCCCGCAGCCGCTTCCACCAGGGTCTAGGATGATGTGAGAATGTGGTGGTGATGGGTTTTTTGTTTTGTTTTGTTTGTTTGTTTTTTCAGGCTCCTTTTTGGCCCATCGGGGTGGTCAGTCAGTCCAGGACTGCCAGGCTTGCTTCCCAGGGTGGTTCTGTTCTCAGCGTGGCCAGAGCTCCCCAGAGGGTTTGTGTAAAGAGGGATGGTTTTGCCCAGAGGGCTCTGTGTCAGGCCAGCGTTCAGGTAGGAAGGCTGTGGGTGATTCCTTACCTACAGGAGTTGCAATGGCAAGATGGTCTTAAAGTCTGTCTTTGCTTACCATGGCAAGTACCATGTAGAAATGAGTAGCTGTTGCGATGAAAAATATGTTTTGCAAAACTTCTCCTCAGTGACACAGGTGAAGTAGTGGGTAATTGTGCGTAAATGAAGTAGTAAAAATAAGCAGTGTTTACTGGGATCTTACCGGGGGCTAAGAACAAGCGGAGAAGATAGTCGTAGAGGAGATTCTTACTTGGGGTATTTCCAGCTCTGCTGGAAAGAGCTAGTGAAAGAGATATGTGTGGTTGTCCGTTCTGCATTTTGTAAGGATGGTGTAGGGATAGCTGCAGTAAAGGTTCTGTGTAACTCAAATCCTGCAGTATTAGGAACGTAAAGGGAGCTCTACGAGAAGAAAATTGGTGACCATATGACAATGCAGAGACGCTGCAGCCCTTCAGCTTTCTGAAAGCCCCTGAGGGCAACGAATCGGCGTGGCCCTTCAGTTAAAAGCCCAGTTCAGGGGTGTATGAAGTTGATGTTCAGAGCACGGTGTGTGGGCCTCTGTTGCTCAGATCTGTTTTTAGCAAAGCTTTTGACAACGCCCATTTTCGTCTGTTCTTTATAAAGCTTTTATCTTACTAAATCTGCTAGTTCCAGATTTGTAGTGATGCTTGCTCTAATAACACTGTGCAGCTGTGCAGGACGTAAGCAGAGCAGTCATATTAAATGTATTCCTTCCTTTTTTCTTTCCTAGACTGCGTGTGTCCTCTTGGTCACTATTGCCCCACTGGCAGCCCAGAGCCCACACCTTGTCCCTCTGGAAAATATCAGGACCAGACTGGTAAAAGCCAGTGTAAAATATGCCCAGCAGGA